TGTGTGTGTGTGTGTGTGTGTGTGTGTGTGTGTGTGTGTGTGTGTTGGGTGGGGGAGTTGTAGGCACTGGGAAGGTGTGAAGACAAGATTCTCCTTATGATGTTATGCTCCGGGTTCAGGTTGCCCTCGGCCACCACTGCCTCTGATAAGCACCCATCCCTGAACAGGCCGTAATCGTGTTTTAAGGCTGGGTCAACTCCTTCTGCCCCCGCCTCCATGTGCAGCTAGTGAGGTGCTACAGCAAGCGGGTGAGTGTCCTAGAGCCGGACTGTTTCGAGTCCCATCCTGGCATACGTGGCCTTGAGCAAGTTGCTTGCCCTCTTTAAGTCTCAGCTACCTCATTGGCAAAATAGGGATAAAAATAATATCTCAAAGGGCTGCTAAGAGGATTAAATGAATTAAAACAGGGAAACTGTTCTGCTAGGGCTTGGCATGCAGTACATGATACATAAATTGTACACTTATTAAGCTAATGAACAAGGCTCTGTGGTAATACTGACTTGGGCCTCCAAGTTTTCAGCATCCATTCCCAGACTCACATTTTAGCATCGATTTCCAAGCATTCGCACCATGCCAGGATGGCTCATTCATGATGGCTTTAACTGTAGGGACTACATGACTACCTCTGGACACTTAGGCTAGATTAGCACATGAAAGAAACTGGATTTTATCTTGTCGGGTTATGGAGGGTCACCAAGCCTTAAGCAGAGGAGTGATGTGGTCACATTTGTTTTTATGAAGATAACTTTTTTTTCTATTGACTAGGAGATGGTTTGCATGGGTAAGAAACTGGAAGTAGATTGATCCTCTAGGAGGTACCAATACATGATGCTAAGGTGGTGAGGACATAAATTAAGGCAGTGGCACTGAGGTGGTAACAACAGGGCTGATGAAGGGAGTTTGGCATCAGGAGGTAGAATCAACAGGACTTACTCACTACAGAAATGAAGGGTGAGGGTGAGAAATGATATGTGATAAGGCCAAGATTTTGAACTGGATAAATAAATAAATAAGTGGTCTTACTTACTTATATGTTCTATCTTTTGTCAGATAGCTAACAACTCTGGGGATTCATTCTATTTTTAGATGTGGTCATAAAAGTATGACTCATCCTATGTTTCCCAATTAGTTGGATAATGTTTTAAGATGAGATAATATTTGAAGAATGTAAAAACTGGAGAAAAAGTACACATAGAGATTGGATTTGGGTACCTGAACAAAAAAGATTTATAACAAATTTATTAAAGAAAGCAGAGAAGTCATACTGAGGACTACAATGAAAGCAAACATCTTGAGTTACCGCCCCTCTTCCTTATGTCCAAAGGCATATTTTAAAATGTGGTTTTATTTAACATGTGCTCTTGTTTTCTTTTTCCTGCACATATTTTTACACAATAAAGCTGAACTTTTTCATGTGTTAAGTGTAAACAGTCTGTTTTCTATTAGAATTTAACATTTGTTTGGTTTCAGTTGTTTTGTTTTTAATGGTGTGATCTTATGGAGAGATTCTTTTTTCAAATAAGAAAGATGTTATTATTTAGAAGCATAAAATATATGCAATTCTGAAGTCCTTGCATACATAGAAAGAAAAACAAACATTCCTTGGCCAGAGCTCTTTTTTATTCTTTGCAGGGGGAAAAAAAATTGAATAAGAAAACATCATTTCCACTTTGTTCTGTTAGGAAACCAATTTAGACTTAGATTCCAGAAGAAAAAAAAAATTCAGATAGGTGTGTTGACTGAGCACACAAAAAGTGAGAAGGTTTTATCTAGACACAAATGACAAAGACTTATTCATGCGTCTCAGGATTTGCAAACCAGGTAACGCCCAGAGTGTTCTGATGAAAAGAGAACTGAGAGTTCTGACAGTAAGAAGCACATTCTGGAGAAGAATAGGTCCTGCATTCTTAGCCCCTGGATTGGTCTGAGGCCGTAATCTACAGACGGCCAGGGTGTGGGTAAAGGGTGTCCGGTGGCTGGATACACGCATGGACATTCCTCCCTAGGTTCTTCAGAAGGCTATCTGTCGACTTTATGTGTATACAGCTGAAAAGGTCAACACTTTAAGTTCTCAGGCTCGTTCAAGTAAAATGAAATTCACTCACCATGCTTCGGCCCGTTTGCTCTGAACCGGTTCAGTCGGCTTGACTGCACAGACTCCATTTAACGGCAGCTTTGGTGTGCTGACTTGATCTTGTCTGCACGTATTCCTCAGGTGAGAAATCTCTAAACAGAGGAGGAGGGACTCGGTATTTTATTTTACCTTAACTGGCATGCAAGGGAGAATACAGGCTTTGTGGGCCCTGGAGCCATGCGTTTGGGGGGATCTGTCAAATGTCCGTCAGGATTGCGTTTTACATACGTCGTGCGGCATAAGTTGGGGAGTGGTCCGGATTTGAGCAAAAGAACAGAAGACTCTGGCAGGGAGGCCTCCGGGAAACAACAGTGCGTTTGGAGAATTCCTTCTCGGGCTTCCGGCTTTCCTTTTGGGGATCCTGTTTGTAAAAGAGTTCAGTCAGAGTAGCAGAGCCTCTGGGATATGTGAGGGATGCCCTCCTGGGAATGTAGGAGCTGCTTAAACAGTCTCTGAAAGGCTCTTTTCTTCACATGTGATGCTGGACCTCCAAGCATGCGGGCAGGTAAGCGAGAAGGGTAGGTGGCTGTAAGGGAAGCAGGAGCTGGAGACCATGAGGACGCACTGAAACCTGTGGCAGTTCTTGTTGCCACTGACCTTGGTGACGTGGGTGTCCTGTAGGAGCTGAACGCTTTGTCTCGTGCTGAAGGGAGATCCAGGGGACGGCTGGGCGGTTGCAGGCCCGGTCACCATCTTGGGCCGATGAGATGAGCCAACAGCGTGTGAGAGCTACAAAGGCTGCCTCTGGGTGAGCTATCAGGTGACGGGCAGGTGTTCAGTCTAGCAGACACAAGAGAGTCCAAAGGGTTTCAATGACAATTGTGTTATAACTGATATATTAATTGAGAGGGTCCTATGACTAAGGACTTCCAAAAGAAGAAAAGAACTTGTCAGTGCTCATCCAGCCCTGTCTAGGAGCCAGTGTGACCTGATCTTGGTGCAACTGAACCTGTTGTCCAATGGAAATATTCTCAGGCCAGAGAAAAGTATATTTAATTACTTTACTTTGAAAAACAAAAGCCTCTGAGACTATCCAATGTCCTTTATTCATATTCTTTGTTCCCCAAAACTCCTGTCACTTGATTTGCTCTCCAGGGTGATTTTGCCCACCATGAGGATGTCTTCTGGCAAGTGACCAAATGGGTTATCTTACCAAGCAATTCTCTTGTTCTAAATTAATGTGTTAGCTCTTCTGTTTTATATATCCCCTATGAGAAACTATGAAATATTAATTCTTCAGAAACTAATAATCACTCTTAGGGTAAGTCCATAAAATCTAACTTCTAGATAAGCTAATGTAAGTAAGATGTAAGCCTTAACAAGCTCCCTGTCCTGTTCAGTGAAGGCCCTAAGGGTAAAGGGGGCCAAGTATATGGTGATGGAAGATGATTTGACTTTGAGTGGGGACACACAGTGCAATATACAGATCATGTATCATAGAAATGTACACTTGAAACCTACATAACCCTATTGAACCAATGTCACCCCAATAAATTTAATTAAAATAAAAGAAACTGTGCTTAAAGTGCGGATCCCAACCTTTATATTTCTGGTCCATCTTCTCAAACCCCTAAATCCAACCTGTTCCTCTTATATCATCCTGCTTTCAAACTTCTTTCAGCCAGTGATGTCAGGTCTCATTCTCATCTCATAGCTTTGGTACAGTCACACAAGGTCGCAAATCTGACCTTTCCTGACCACAGTCTTCCACCATGTTCTGACACAGCAGCCATGGCTAGAGGAAGAGTATTCTTCCCAGTGAGCTCATGCCTCCACAGAATATTGACCTTTATTCTGCCCTTCGAAAAGTTTTTTCCAGGTTTCTCCTGAGGCAATGATCTTGGCCAAGTCCTTGATCAACAGAATTGTCTGTTTTGAAGAGTGAGGAGCACAGAATCTGAGCCAGACTGCCTTGAATCCTGGCCACCTCTTGCTAGCAGAGTGACCTTGGGCAAGTTCCTTAAATTTCTGTGTCTCAGTTCCCTCATGTGTGAAATGAAGGTATTAGCAATGCACGCTTATAGGACTGTTGTGGCTGAATTATTTAATAAATTTACCATGTCTGGCGCGTACTTAACGTGCCACATGTTAGTCACTGCTGTTGTTATTGTCCCTCCTCAGCACTTATTAAATGCTTAGATGCGGAGAAGACAAAAGGGGTACAAGGGGGAAAATATAGGTTTGTATTTCAAAATATTTTATTTTCACAGGGGTAATCATCAAATCAGCCAAACCCATGCTCTTGAGATTTAATGTCAGCATCTTGAATTTACTACGATTATGAATGTATAATATCCACTTCTGTGTGTGTAAGCCACTTCAATCTAATGGACTGTTTTTCTTTCCAGTAAATCATCAGGATTACCTTTTCCTTAATAAACTTCACATTTCCTGAGTGAATGACAGGAAAATGTTTAATGGGAAGGCCAAGCACCGGCAATGCCTGAGTCCAGAACAGAAAGAAAACCTAACTTCAGTATTTTACTGGAATCTGAGTTAAGAAATAGGGGTCACAGAACTAACAGCAAACAACGGCTGAGTAACATCAGAATGAAAAGAGAAATGATGAACCTGGATTTGCAGCCTGACCTATTACGAAATGTGACTAATGGAGCTACGAGTCACTCATTAAAAAATCCTCTAGAGTTTAAAACAAAAGGAACAATTTGTTCAGAGGATAATCAATGCTTACAGGTAAATGTCACAATTTTGCATCTCGGAATCCTTTTGCTTTTCTTAAAGATCTAATAAATTGACCCTTTCATGTTGGCAATTATTTAACTTGCCCTATTTTTATTTTATTTTTAAATTAAATTATTTCCATCACCATTTATTCCCTCCATCACCTCTTCCACTTCCCCCTCCTCTACCCCCGAAATCACCACACTGTTTTCCATGTCCATGAGTTCTCTCTTTTTACTTTTTTGCTCAATCCCTCCACTGCCCCGGCCCGCTGTCTGCCTGCTCTCTATCTACGCGTTAGCTTCTCTTTATATTGTAGTTAAAATGACATTTTAATTCATATCTTTATAGGTAAAATTTTAGTAGTAGTAGTAGTACTATAAAGCAAAGCTTCAACTGAACTTTGGTTTTATTTAAGTTTTAAGAATTACTGAAGTTAATCGAAGTACGAAATTCTCTGAATGAGCACAGTAATGAGAAGCTAAAAATCAGGGATGTATTTTTGTAAGGACATTGGATCATTCATAAAATTTCATACAAATAGGAGAAAAAATATCTCAGAGTATTGGGATTTGTCCTTGGATCTCCTCTTTTAGTTCTTCTTCCAGTTAAACCGATTTCCTCACATATTTGTTTCTGGATTAAAGCCAGAATCAACATTGTCCCTATTTCTAATCAAATAGTGGAGGAACAATGACAAGTTCTGAGTGGACCCTGACGGGCCGAGCGGCGGGACCTAGCCTGAGCTGAGTGTGACTCGTCTCTGACTTCAGGCAAGGTATTTAACATCTCTCCACTTTTGGCATAATTGTAATAATGCTCATTTATTTCACAGGAGTGATATTCAGCAGAGCTCAATAGACAATCGTCAGCTATTGAGAGAGGTCAGGTTGATGAGAGAAACGGCTGCTTCTGCAGCTTGGAAAAGAGATTTTGAATTCTATCTCCTTTCCATTCTATCTCCTTTACATTTTGAATGAATTGGATAGGAATTTGACGTAAATAATAAGATATGAAGTTTCATTATAGAGAGTGGGGGGAAAAAAGACCATAATAATATGGCCTTTTTCCACTTCAGAAGTAAAAAGTTCAGAAATATTTCTTTATTTCCATTTTTGGGCATTAAATTCATTTAGCTTTATAAGCTTTCACTGAGTATAAATTCTTGAGATAAATAACAAAGATACTATTATTTTTCTGTTTAAAAAAAAGGGAAAAGTTTGGATGAAAATAGGATATAAGCAACCTCTAAGTCCAGGACCGTGAGTAAATTTTTAACTGTCTTACATTAAGGGTGCAGTCCATTTGTGAATGCCAACTTACTAAACACACTTTCTTCAGTGACTTTTTATTTCTTTTCTATTTCTTTTATCTTGTATTCTTCCATAATAGCTCTTGTAAACCATACCATTTTTGAAATTTTACATGCTGCTAATGTACTTTTGTAAATGTGTTTGTAAAAGTTACATATCAGCTATAGAACTTCTAAGTTCCAAACTTGATATTTCTGCTTTTAAATTTAATCCACTATAATCAACCAACTTAAAACATTTTAGTGGGGAAGAAATTGGACTTTATAGACTTAGAATAACTTATATCAAACAACACAGTACATCAAGGGATAGCCAGTTGAAAACTATTTTACAATAATTAAAAGTTTTGAGATAGCCCAAAGCAAAAACATTGCAAAAGAAATAGAACTAGTTGCATAGCAAAGAACTAAATAACCTGATATAATTTTACCATAAGCCAGGTTTGCAGAATAATAATGGTTTGCTCTGATGAATGATGGAGACCAGGCTTTCAAAGCAAGTTTCTTAATGCCTAAACATTTCTTCAATATTGTAGAAGATGGTTAGAATTAGAAATGAGTGCACTGCAGAATTTTAGAGGACTTAAGATATCCTCAGGAATTACTCTAAAAATGAACAAATTAACATAATGACTATTAAAATATATGTGACATTTTGAAATGACTCATTGTTTCAGGATCTGAAGATTAGAGGCTGACTCCTTTCTCTGGGAAAAATCAGATTTGATTAACTTAATGGCAATGAGATAGGAATTTCAGGACACCAAGATACAGAGATCTGCCAAAGCATTTCTTTGGCCCTTTATTTTATAGAAAATCTAAGGTGTAGCAATATGTACACAATGTTATATACTTTCCCAGTATCTCCCAGGACACTTTCAACATGCACTGTCGCTTAAGCAAGAGCCAGACTCAGACATATAGGAACATAATATTTTTAGAGATGTAATTTCTCTTCTATAGACTTCCTGAGGATTGATTTACGGCCGAACTATGAGACTCCACATGTTGACTATGTGTTAGCAATTTTTTAACATATTTTAATTGATGTATATTAATGTATTAACACGATGGCAGCATTCATATTGAAACAGGCTGTTGCTAAATTGTTTTCTCTCATTCATAAGCTACAAATATTTTATTTTTAACTTATGCCTTTTGGCAAAAAGGCTACGATGATTTCAAGTGTGTTCTTTCCATCTAATCAATATGTGTTCATTTGAATCATATAAAATTGCCAATTTCATGGGTCAAAATGTTCAAACATATGTTAATGTAAGAAACATTCAAACCTGTAAAGAATTTTTGTGAGCTTATTTGAGCCAAATTGTCAATACATGCTTGGAAGCAGAATCTCAACGGGTTGAGATAATGCTTTGGAGAATGGCAGTTTTGCCCTTTGTTTTATATATTACAATCAGAAGAGGAGACGTGAGTGGGTTACATGAAATCCATTGGTGACAGAGTAGGGAGGTGGGAGAAAACAAAGGGGGTGGGGACCTCTGGGATTGGATAAAAAGTAAAATGATGGACAGATACTTCTTTTACTTAGGTGGGTGCAGGATAGTTAACAGTCAATAATTAACTCAATAACAATGAGGGGATTTGACATTCCAACAATGTTATTATAGATGCAAAAAGACAATAGACAGGCTCAGTTAGGTAAAGATTGACCTTTGTCAGGGAAGATACTGGCCTAGGACATGACTACCCACCATAAACTGCTTTTTGGTTAAAAAGTTTTAATTTTTAAAAAAAGTTTTCATTTCATACCATCCTTTGTGGGTACTTTAGGTCTCTGAGTTTGCAGGGCTGCCACGCAGGCCTTCCCTGAGCTAGTCAGGTTAGCATGTGGCCCCTTTTCGTTCACACAGATGTCATTTCTTATAGTTTGATCTAATATATTAAGAAAGGAGCAACTAGGCACCAAGGAAAGAAGCTCAGGATACGTAAGGGGGCCTCGGAGTAGGGTTTGGTGAGAAAGAAAAAATAAACCCATGTGTTCAATCCAACTAAAAGTCCCTAGCTCCTCCTTAACGCTTACTTTCAAAAATGTACTTAGCCCACCGTTTTCCCCTTGACCAAAACAAGCATAGAGGAGGAAGCAGGCCACAAACACAGACCTTGGTTTCATGACAAGGAAGTCACATTTTCCCGTCTGAGAAAGATTTTCCCTCCTGGGGATTACTTTCTGCAGAAGCAACAACTTAATTATTATCGGAGTCACCACAGTAAGTTGGAGGCTGGGGATACAACAATTAGCAAGGTGTGGCTTTGCCCTCAAAAGTCTCACTCTGAGGGAAAAGCATGGAGAAAGGGAGGCAGGGGGAGAAAGATGCGAAAAGCTGCCGGAGGAAATGCCATCAGCTGGCACAGCGCCTGCAGCCCAGCGGGTCTGCACACGACGTTTGTTGAGTGAATACTTGCTGAGTCAGTCTGTAAATACAGCGCGTGATCATAGGGAGGAAGTGATTGTGTCTGGAGGGGTGGGCTGGGAGAGTTTAGTTTTTATATTTACACATGGTTTCCCGTATGCATAATTTACATTGTCTTTATTTTCCATTTTAATATTTATTTTCGGTTTTCCCTCAGAACGCCGCCTTGCCGAGGCAGCTATGTCTCCTTCTCGGGTGGGTCTAGCACAGTGCTGAGCGCCAGCGACGATCAGTCCCCGCTGGCTGACGCCCCCGGTCCCTGGGGCTGCGCGGCTTCCGGGCGGCTGTCTCCCCTCCTGCCCAGAGAGCCTAACGCTCCTTTGCAGACCGTGCGACTCAAGAACAAATAAGTCACAGCCGTGTTCAGGGGCAAGAGTGATGTTCAGCGGAGAAGGCCAAGCAGAAGGGCCTCCATACCTCTCTGCAGCCCGTTTCCCGCTAGGCAGCAGGGACGTACAGGGTGGGGCAGAAGGAGGTTTACAGTTGTTCACATGGAAGTAATACAATGATTAATAAATTATAATACAAGAATAAATGTGTTTGGTGTACTCACAACTATAAACCTCCTTTGGCCCCACCCTGCATGTGTACAGAGAGGAAGGCCAGGTAGACTACAGGTTGGGGGCATGAGCCTTCAAAGCAAAAAGCTCAATTGCTTGGCTTTCCGTACACCTGCTGTGTGAGCTTAGGGAAGTGACTTAACCTCTCTGATCTGTAATTCATTTGTTTGATGAGAATAACAGTACTTGCCTTATATAGTTATTTGAAGATAATATGTAAGATGTTTATAAAATGCATAGCACGGTTCTTCATACGTAGTTATGAAAATGTCAGCCAGAAGTAATAATGTGTGAAGTAAAACTATCAGTTATATCTAGCAGATTCTTTATTAGTCTCTGTAATTCACAAACTTGACATATCCTAAAAATTCATATTATTTTTTACAGTGCTTCCCAAGATGGCCTGCACACTGTCTGTGGCCAAGTGTGAGTAAAGCCTCTCCGGTTCTGGAGCTGTTTTTGCTGGCCCCAGGAGGGTTAAGAACTGCCTGCTTTATTAACATAGATAAACATTTTTGTCCATTAAGTCTTTAAGTGATTGCTTCCCAGTCTTTGCTGAACATGCAGTCAGAGGAGAGTCTGAAAAACTCCCAGGCCTGACTGCCACCTTTAGACACTTGATTCAATCCCTGGGCATGGGAGTTTTTAAAAGCTCCCGAGAGACCCTCATGGACAGCAAAGTTTAGGAACCATTTCTCTAATTACATAAAATTGAGAAAGGGACACATTGGAAGGACCTTGTGGTCATAGGTTTTATAAGAATGAAAATAGGCTAACAAATAATTCACTTGATTCCAGTGTGGGATTTTTTTTTTCTTCTTTTTTTTTTTTTTTAGCAGAAACCATATGTTTAAAATTTGTTTGAAAATTTTGCAGATATTTCTGTTCTTCTAGGCTCCTTAGCTTCTAGAATTTATACAAACGCACCACTGGCAGGACACAGAAGTCATTTTGAGGATGAGCAAAATTTTTCATCAGGACTAATGCCTTCCAGATTGATTAAAAAAAAAAATCTTGAGAAATGGTAAAGTGAATTTTCCTCCACACCTTTAAATAGGGCTTAAAGTTTTTATATTATATTGGTAGCTTGCCTAAACATTAAGACAAACAATGCATATGACCTTCTAGTTGTTCTAACTTTTTTTTCTTCTTTTAAAAATAAAAGCTGTCATCCATATACAAAATGAGCTACCATTCGTTTAGCGCTTATCATATGCCAGGGTATCTAAAAATATGACATCAAAATTGCCACCATCCTACAAAGTAGGAAGCAGGCTTTCCGTTTTAGAGATAGCAAGCCTTTTAGTAAGTTACCTGAGGCCACACAACTAGGAAGATGCTTGGCCATAATCTGGACCCTTTGAGTTTACAGAGCCTGTGCCTTTTCAGCACCACTGTATAAGTAGCACATTGGTACCACCAGAGATCAGAGTCCCTCCTTTATTCTTGCAGTTGAACAGGTTCAGTCTATAGAAGGTAACAGCCAAAGCATCAGTCTCCATGGGGGAAGCCAGGGAAAGTCCAGGAGAATTTCCTTGGCCACTCTTAGATGGCCTGGATCTGCATCTCACCTCCTGCATGGCCTTGAGTCTGACCCTAAGTCTGGCCTCATGAAAATTCACAGAAAGAAGCTGAATGAAATTCTTTTGTTCTTGCAGTCCTTTCAACGGGGAGAATGGGGAAGCTGTTCCGTTTCTTCCTTCTTACCACTGTGCTGCTAATGGGCAGGGAAAGCTGGGTAAGCTCATGGCAAAAACTACTGTTGTATTTATAGTGCCTGCTTTCACCTGCATTTTCTTTTATTTTGCAGAACATCAATAGTAAAGTGTCACTCTGAAGAACTTAACTGAGGGGGAAAATGAATGTTTGTGGCAGCACCTGCCAACTAATAGGCACTTACCAAGTGCTTTAAAAACTTTTTTGAAGTAAAAATTAGTATTGACAACAAATAAGTAAACTCTTTTTTAATTTGTTGGGGTTATTTGGGTGGTTATAGAACATTAGGAATTTAAAACTGTCTGTTAAAATGGACCTTGAGCTTTCCACTATTGAACACTATTAGTGTACACTAGACAGATTATTTGAAAGTGATTACAATGAACTCATACCTTCCTCCATTCATGAGTAAAAAGGTAAAAATACTCATTTGCTCACAGTTCTGGGAGAAAGAAAACTCCTAAGTTTTAAAAAAGGTTACTAACATAGTACATTCAGTCTCATAAGGATTGAACATATGTGCCTTATAATTCCTTCAGTTATTTAACAAGATCACAAACAGTTTCCCACTATTAGAGAGCAACACGGAATTCCAGACACCATAGAATATCTTTGCTGCCCATTTTTTAGACAGATGTGACTCAGGGGGCTAAGAGGATAAATCAAAGGGGATAAACCGAGGGCAAATAAGAAATAGTCCTGCAGAAACAGCAGCGACTTGGACCAGGAGATGGGTGGGGGAGGCTTCTACCACCCCTTCTCCATTTGATATGACTTTCAGTCGTGAGGCTGAATTTCTGCATTTACATTATAATCTTTCATAGGAAAGCATGTACCTCTTCCTTGTGTCCTGGAGAGGATATCTAATTGCACTGTTCTGACTGCCTAGCAGAGGGCCTGGAACACAGTAGGTCCTCATATTTGAATGAACACAGATAGCACATAAAGATAGGAACAGGAAGCTATGCAAATATAAATTGGGAAATATATCTGACTATAACCAAATGTCTATTTTAAGAAATAATTTATATAAAAGTAGTGTGAAGCACTTACACATTAAAATGGATAATTTCTCAGAAGTGAACACCTACACGTACCACTAGAGGTCATGGCATGGGCTGCAAATAGAGATGTCAAGGTAAAAATGGCAAAAATGTGTCATTTGTTCTTTTTTTTGGTTTTTACTCCCCGCAGTAACTCTCCCAGCATCGAGTACTCAGGAGCCTTTTCTGCAGCTTCCTGGCCTCTGTACCTCTTCCCAGGAGACCCAGCTCTGCCACCCTCCTTCCCAGTTCACCCACCACATTTGCTGTCTTTGGAGGGTTTGTTCAGCCAGATGTCCCTTTAGAAAGGAGTTGATAAACTCTCTCATGTGCAATAGTCTTGGGTTATTTGCCTTTTTAGGGAAGATAAATGACTTAGCTGGATGGCTCAGCCTCCACCCATCCCTTTTTAAAGTGATTAAGGAAAAAACAATAAGTAAGCAAAAAGTTAAAGTGACTCCGGTAGAATTTTCAGCAATAGGTAAATAGATGAGATACTCAAGGATATGAGAGTCTAAACTAAGCATTCTTTATGAAGCTGATGATATGTCTAAGATTATAAGCATTCAATTATAGTTTTAAAGCCATTAATACCCAAAGGTCATTCAAAAGCCTAGTTTATTTGACCGGTAAGAGAGCACTAAGTGTCATGTAGAGACTGAGAACAGAAACTCTGAGCTGGTCATACATCCTGACTTCTCTTGCCCACTGGGAATTCCTGAGCAAGTTTCCTTATCAGGACTGAACCCATTCCTACCTCATGGAATAGTTATGAGGGGCAAATGAGACAGTGACCCTAAAATTCTTAGCGTAATCATTCAGATTATTTTCTGTTATAACATTTTTTAGTTCAAGCACATTAGCATAAGCCGTGATTTCTCATCCTTCAAATAACAAATAGTATTAGAACTTTCAAACTACTTCCTGATTGGAGTAACATTCTGGAATGGGAGTTGGGAACAAAATTGGATCATTGATTTATCCAACTTACTAGGAATATTTATCTTCCATGAGACCAAGATGCACGTTACTTTGCAGGCTCTCGACAACTGTCTCCAGGAGCAGGCGCGTCTCAGAGCCCAGGTGCACCTGCTTGAGACCCGGGTCAAACAGCAACAGGTCAAGATCGAGCAGCTTTTGCATGAGAAGGAAATCCAGTTCCTGGATCAAGGAGAGGAGAGCAGTGTCATTGACCTTGGAGGCAAGAGGCAATATGCAGGTCAGAATCTATTTTGCTTTAGTGTTTCAATAACTTATACACTATGTGCAATGATGGTGCTAATCATTCTGTTGCCGGAGGAATTAATGGGCCAGATTTCCCAGACACAGTGTGGAGACCTGGACAAAGGGATGAGTCATATTCCAGGTGGGACATAGTGGGTCTCAAGAAATTTCGTCACACTACTCAGAATGGCACACAATTTAAAACTTATATTTCTGCAATTTTCCATTTGATATTTTCAGACTGCAGTTAACCACAGGTAACTAAAATGGTACAAAGTGAGACCATGGATAAGGAGTGACTACTGTATAGGAGGATCTCTCACTGGTTTGCAGAAGAGAGAGCCCACTCACTCCACCCCACAAGAATACTGCACTCTCAAGCCCTGGCCGGGTAGCTCAGTGGGTTAGTATTGCAGGTTCCATCCCTGGTCAGAGCACATATAAGAAGCAAACAATGAGTGCATAAGTAAGTGGAATAACAAATCGATCTCTCTCTCTCAAATCAATCAATCAATCAATCAATCAATAAAAGAATACTGCACTCTCCATGGAACCACAAGAGGTTCTCCTTATGTTTCCTTCTTATGTCACCTGGGGGCTGAGAGTGGCCGTGGGAGAGCCAGTTCTGGTATTTCCTAACATGCCCCGGGGAGAGCCAGCTGGCCTCTTGCTGGCCTTTCTTTGAGTTTAGAATGTCAGAGGCCTAGTGCCTTTATTTCTCAGCTTTAAGCTCAGCCTGCATTCTGGGACATGAGGGAAAAGCCCACTTGGCAGGTTGTCATGTCCCTTTATGAAGACCTTGAACATTCAGCCTTCCAACACGGTTTGTTTTCTGCATGATCAAAGGAAGTACTCACCTCACCCAGTTTAATGCAGTGCTTGTCAAATGGGGCAGGAAGTCCTGGCCTCGCTCTGGTACTATGTAAGTATCCAAAAACCCTTTCTTTTCTTTTTTTAACTCCCATGAACACAGAGCTCTTTAACCGCGCCCTTCTCCTGCCTGTTTTCCAGGGGTTTGAGTGGGTCAAACATTTTGAAAATTATAGTTTTAAATAGTTAATACTGAAAGCCCTACACTGTTAGAACTTACTGCTGTGGCAGTGTAGTCACATTTCCCCAAGGCAGGCTCCTAACTTACTAGCTATGAGCTACTTTGCTACAGGAACTTACTTGATTTGTATGTCGGCTGTTGTTGTGTTTTTTGTGTGTGTTTTTTCCCAGTTGAAAACTTTCCTCTGGATCTTAAGTTGTGTTTGATATTTTCCTCTGAGAAGAAGAAAAATATTTTAAAAACACAACAAACCAACAAACTCACATTTGGCATAAAATAAAAACAAATAGGAAACATTGGCTGAAAACTCCATCCTCACAAAGTTTTCCAGAGGCAAACATTATAGCTAATTATTTCCATATTTGCTTGGAAAATAGTCTGAACCTTATGAGACTACTAGTCAGCATTTTGGTAGGAGGTTAAATGTAAGCAAAGGGCTTCTTTCTCAACAAGGAACGTTAAAATCTGTGTACTTTAATGAAGAGTGGCCTACAATATACTTGACCACAAGATGTAAGCTTTTGAACAACATTGAACTAATTTTAGGTAATCATTTTCCTATGTTTTACAAAACAGGGTATTTCTTTATAATTCAGCAGTATCAAGAACACTTGGGCTTCTGAATCTCAAAAATAAATATGTGAGTAAAGCTTACATCATTACAAAGATGATCATCTCACCAGAGCAGTAGTGTGTGATTGGTTTCAACTTGGGGAGGGCTTTAGAAAGTGTCCAAGTTCCTTTATTTTCCTTTCTCTTCTGATTCTTATTGCCTATTCCATCTATTTAAAGTGGAATATATTTTGTTAGTAACAAAGCAGAGTTGTAGACAATTTGGTATCAAAACAATGAAAATGAAGAAAGAACTTAAAAATATGCTAAAAGAATGAAATTATCCAATCAGGAAGAGAAAAAAATTTTTTAAAGATAAGAAATCAACAAAATAGTAAGGGTAAAGTTTGAAAGTTAGTGATGCCATGTTATAGTATTTTTATTCAAAAGTCTATGAATGAGTATTCTTAAAACTATCTCTGTACAGTGGCCACCCTAAAATGTAGCTTCCCGGGCATCTAAATCATAGCTAAGTCCATACTGCCATATTCTCTAATCCACACAGGTCAGACTCAGTGAGACCCAATGATATTAATTATCTCACCATCAAGTGGTTTAAGAAACAGATATTAGTCCTGGCCAGTGTAGCTCATGGATAGAGTGTCGTCCCACATGCCTAAGGGTCACAGGTTCAATTCCCAGTCAAGGGCTCCCTGGTCAAGGGCACGTACCTGGGTTTCAGGTTCCATCCCTGGTCTGGTCATGTTGACGTTTCCCTCTCTCTCTTCCACTCTCTCTAAAAAGCAAAGTAAAAAGTATCCTTGGGCAAGGATTAATAGGAAGGAAGGGAGGGAGGGAGGGAGGGATATTACTTTTTGGTGGCAAATTGGTAGCTTTGTTTACTTCAATGGTCAAAGAAATACCATGGCTAAAAATAGTAGAAACTTTCAGTTTTCAGCAAAAATATCTAAGAATACATGGACTATTAGAAATTTCAGTGGTTTAGTAAAACATCTGGTGAGACTGGGAGGTTGTAAGAATCTAAGAAGAAGATTACTATTTTGAGTTTATTTCCAGATCTTCTGAATGATTTGTAATGCTCTAAGTCAAGATAACCAATATTATTTGTTTGGTGTTATATTTCTACTTTTATTTTAGCTTCAGAGGGGAGATAAGTTCCACTATTCTATCTGATAAATCTGTAAGTTCCACTTATATAAACTGTAATTAACTGAACACATATAATTTTAAAAATTGTTTTTCACGAACATCAGAAATGAGAAAGCAGATCCCTATTTCACTACCCCCTTTTTTTTTCATGATCATATCAAGGAGTCAGAGAATAATTAAATTCCAGGAAAAGAAATGACTTTTCTAATATCCACTGGAAGATGTATAAGATGCAATTTTAAAAAGCTGATTATCTATATCATGTGTTTATCTGTCTCCATTAGTATTGAGTGATCTCATTTAGAGGCTCCCTTTAGTAAAAAAAAAAAAAAAAAGACATAACAAATGTTATATTACCGTGTTTTGCAAACAGATTGTTCGGAAATTTTCAATGATGGCCATCAGATCAGTGGATTTTTCAAAATCAAGCCTCATCAGAGCCCAGCAGAATTCTCTGTTTATTGCGACATGTCTGATGGAGGAGGTTGGACTGTAATTCAGAGACGCTCTGATGGCAGTGAGAACTTTAACAGGTGTGCTAATTATGACATAAGCGTTTATTTGGAGCAGCACATGTGATATTTAAAATAGGTAAACCTTTTTGTCCTGTCCTAAAGTCTCCTAATTAGATAGACTCACTCTCTCTAGATAAGAATACTGGAAGTGCATTAACAAGTCAAGGAAACACTGCGTGTGGGAGCAGCAGTGAGGGGGTGCAGGCGTCTTGGGTATTGCAAAGGTCTATTTGGATTTTGCTAAAATCTGCATTGACTCTGAATTTTTTTAGAGACTGGAATGACTACGAAAATGGCTTTGGAAATTTTGTCCAAAACAATGGTGAATATTGGCTGGGTAATAAAAATCTTCACTTATTAACCACACAAGGTAAGATTTGCCTACTATCAAATTCACTGAAAATATAATAAAAATAACACTAAAATGTTTTTCACTAAATTATAGGCAATATAACTCATTCAGTAACTACTATAATTTGCAGGTGGCAATGGTCCCTTTGGGCAATAATTCCCTTTGTAAAATGTGGCTGCTTAAAGCTAAGAATAGAATAAAAGAAACTAGACCTGGGTTGGGGGGGGTGGGTCATTTCTCATGTATGTATTTTCTATTTCTGGGCAAGAAATGTGATGTCATAATCATTCTTTTGTTAAATGCCTTAAGTCCCTCAAAATATACCTAAGGTAGAGTTCTCTATCGCTACCATAATGTTGTGTAACAAGCCACTTCAAACTTTAGTGGCTTAACATCACAACCATTTGGTTTTTTTCTCACAGATCTACAAGTTGGCTGGGTGGTTTTGCTGATCAGGGCTGTGCTCTGCTGATCTAGGCTGGGCCTGCTCATGGGTCTGTGATCAACTTTCTGGTCAGATGGAGGCTGGGTTTTCTAGGCTGGCCTCAGGTGGAACAATTCAGCTCTTCTCCACAGGGTCTCTCATCCTCCAGCTAACTAGCCTAGACTTGTGCTTGTAGCCCAATCAGAGGTCTAAGAAACAGAGTGGAAGTACATGTCTCTTGACTCAGAACTGGCACACAGTCATTTTCCCAGCCTTTTATTGGTGAAGGCAAGTCACAAGACCAGCTCAGAAGTAAGGGGAAAGGAAATAGACTTCTTGGGAGGCTTTACAAAGCCTCATTGCTGAAGGGGAGGTACAGAATTAGGGGGGTTGGGGCTGTTTTGCAATCATAGACCATAATACACTAAATGTCCTTGTTTCCATCTTTCTTCCAAATTTTACTGTGAAAATTTCAAAGATACAGCAAAACTGAAAGAAGTTTTACCCTATCACCTATACTCTACATTAACATTTTACTCTGTTTTCCCCATATCTACCCATCTGTCCATCAATTCATTTTCTTTGACATATTTCAAAGTAAATTGCAGACATCTGCAAAATGCCCCCTATATAATTTTGCATGGGTACCTTCAACGAGAGTTCAATATTTGTCTAAAATATCATTATTTTGATAAGAAAGTTTCCATGCTTCTCTTTCCATGTTCTTTTGCTGCAATCCATTGCCTTCCTCATGCCATTTTCAATCTGAGATTGTAGTCAGCTCCACTCAGGTCTGATTCTAAATGTTTCATAAAAGGCAATTGTATCACTCAAAAAAGCATGCTAAACGACACTAGCAATGCATTAAATATAGGAGCGAAGGTTTGCTCGGTTCCATCCAAGTTAAGGAAAGCGGTTGGTGTTTCTATATTCATAATAATCAGTAGGATTATAATTATAGGGCCCTTTGAGACACTGGAATAATAGGTTAGAAAGGATGGATAATCCTAGAAGCCTAATCCTCTTTTTGTTGGCCTTCTTGTGTCCAATGTTTTCTAAATCTCAACATATTTATTATCCTACCTTTAAGCGTTTTTTCATAGATATATAACATTTCCCATACCAGCTTGTTTCTTTCATACATTAATAGCTATCCAGTGTCTCATTGAAACTATGAAAACCTCAAAGAGTGACCCTTGGCTCCTTCTAAATACACAAAATTCACACTTACTATTTTTCAAACTATTATCAAGCACTTATTTGCCCAGATGCATTTTGCCAACACATCAGCTTCCCCTTCATCTTTTGATTAGTGTTCAGTCTAGCTTTTCTCATGGTAGCAAAAATATGTTTATCAGTTCTAAGTTTCATAGCCACATATCACATCATCCTAAGGAAAAACAGTGACTTTGTCCCTGCATTCTTCAATTACAATACCACTTAAGGCTAAGCACTTGCCTCTGAAAATAGCTTTATCCCCATTACACAAATTTTGACTGGAAGTGTTTGCAGTAAAGGTAATTTAGAAATGCATTCATATTAATGACCAAAGAGATATTTAGATAGCTACCTAAACAATTGAGATTGACTTTGTATCTCTTCTATAATACAAAATATTTTTTAGGAGAGTTAACAGACTGCCTTACTGCCCCCCTTCCCCCATCTACTTCACAGTCCTGGTTCATATAACCTTTACTGCCTTTTGATCAGGTTAGAGGGGCTCTTCCTTGGAACTCGCTTGAGAGACTTCCATGGGACAGGGAATCTGTGGGGCCAAAGTATCAAGGTCAACAGGAGCCCATACCCCTCCTAGACTCACTCCAGTAGTAGGAAACTAGCATTCCAAAAATCCTTGGGCTTGCCTCCAGGACCTGTTCATGCCTCTTTGTCCCCCTGTGGGAAGGTTGTGCTGCTGATGTGTGTACCCCTAAGCCTGAGGGGGAGGTGAAGGAACAGCTTTTATTGTGGGTATAAACAGAACTTGGATGTGCATTGTGGAAAGTCCACCAGGGTGGACAAGGCCCCTTACAATGTGTGATGGAGATAGTGATGGGAGGAGAAGGGAGGACTTCCATAGACCAGGCCTGTGTGATGGGGGGTCCAGGGGCTCTCTCCTGGGCCTCCATGTTCTGGCTTAGAACCTGGAGAAGTCTAAGACTCTACATTCAAGCCTGGTCTTACAGGTCATTCCGAAATTTTATCTATTAAAGTAGGAGGAAAGAACATATGCTATTTAACAGTTAGTTTGATTTATAACTTTTTACGTTCCTGACACTAGTTCTGTTTCTGAAAAAGTAATAGTCTTTGTTATTTGCAAATGATGGGGCAATGAGAAAAAGATGGTTACTCAAAGATACCAACTATTCAGTCATTATTTATATTTAAGATCAGCATCCTTACTGAAATTAAGAAAAAGAAGATAAACATTTAAGCTTTTTATACTTTTGTCTTTCATTGTTACATTTCTTAATCTATTAACTAAATAACGACATATTTTCTGTTGTTCTTTGCCAAGTAAATTGCTCTAGCTTTTACCTATGATAGATGTGGTAGAAATTTTCTGTCTTTAATATTGTGTCCCTAATTTTTTTCAAGTAAAATACACAATAAGACATTCAAGTTGTAAATCCAATGGAGTCACTATTTATTCTTTGAAAAACTGACTCATGGCAGAAAGAGATGCTCTAAGTAAAATAGAGCCATGCACTTTTTTTTTTAAACCTTAGTAAGTCAATGTCATCTCACACATTTAAAAAACTACAATTTCTTTTTCTTTTTTCTAGGAGACTACACTTTAAAAATCGACCTTTCAGATTTTGAAAAAAATAGCTGTTACGCCCAATACAAAAGTTTCAAAGTTGGAGACAAAAAGGTACTAAAATTTTCAAATAACTAACACCATGAATCAATGGGTAAAACATACAAGATAAACCCTAAAGTCAGTGGAAACAAAAATATAGAATTCTCTTATTAAATAAACCTACTTCTTAAATAATGACAACTGATAGTGAAAGTTGCCTCTGTTCCTTCAGAATTCCTATGAGTTGAATGTCGGGGAATATTCTGGAACAGCTGGAGACTCGCTTGCAGTAAAATTCAATCCAGAGGTGCAATGGTGGGGTAGTCACCAAAGAATGAAATTCAGCACATGGGACAGAGACCACGACAACTACGAAGGGAACTGTGCGGAGGAAGATCAGTCTGGCTGGTGGTTTAACAGGTTTGACGTCTTATAAACATAGTTGTAATGGCATTGGTGATATCTTACTGGTGGGCATTAATTATAAAATACCAGAATGAGGTAATGTTGATCTTCTTTGTAATAATAGTATTATTAAGCAATCATCCTTATTAGAATTCTTCACCGGTGAAGTATTTTTGAGGATTCGTTCATTGTGTACATTAGCAAAGCTTGAAAGATATGTCTGAGAAATAAATCAGAGTACTGCTTTTAAGAAGATTGTTTGCAAGCTGAATTATAGGTTTCTTATCATAAACAGTAGGCCATACATTGGCAAGAAGAAAAAGAGATCATGTATTTATATACAGGAAAAATATTTTCGGCATTCTAATAACCAAGGGGCTCTTCACTTTCCATCATAGAAAGTGACCATGTCGTTGTTGTAAATTTTTCCATATAATACTACTTTTCAATTACTGTGACTTTCATCAAATCATTGAACCTAAGCTCCTCCCAAGACTGAAATTTCCTCTACAATATTCCTGAAATCTAATTCCACCCTGATTTAATACTTCAGTGTTACTTAATCAGCAAGCTCATTCCACTGTTGATTGTATTTTTTTCTTTCATTAACCTGACATCTGCCTTTTTTCCAGTTTTTTACTCAGTAGCTATAGAGTAATTGTAATTCCTTTTCAACATAAGTCTTCAGGCTCTGACTGAGACAGTATTTATTGTATTCCTCCATATTTTCTCTTCTCTAGGCTAGATATCCCTGATTCCTTTAACTCTTCTCCACTCAAGGTGGTTTCCAGACAGCTCCCTTCATTGTAAACACAAGTTTAAGGCAGACGTGGAAACTTCAAACAGTCTTCCTTAAAATAAGCTGATGGGTCTGATCTGCAAAGCAGATGTGCTCAAACTGTTAGGCTGCCCACAAGCTTTAAACATCTTTGACATTTAAACATATCTGGACATTTAAACTTTCCATTTCGGCCCGGCTGGCGTGGCTCAGTGGTCGAGCACTGACTTATGATTCAGGAGACTGAGGTTCAATTCCCAGTCAGGGCACATGTCCGGGTTGAGGGCTCGATCCCCAGCAGGGGGCGTGCAGGAGGCAGCCGTTCGGTGACTCATCAATGATGTTTCTATCTCTCTCTCTCCCTTCCTCTCTCTGAAATCAATAAAGCTATATTTAAAAAATAAAATAAACTTTCCATTTCAGAATTGTTAGTAATCATTTCTGAAATGTCAGATTGTTCATGTAATCAAAGACTATCAATTTAAGTTCCAAAATCCAAATTTTCACATTTTTGGATTTCACTGAATTATAGGCAATATAACTCATTCAGTAAGCACAATCTAACTCACTTATGTAAGCACTTCTCAAGCACTGAAGAACCCTGTTTTGCAACGTGGAGGCCTACCAGGCAGGTGCTAATTTCCCCTAAAGTCATCAGTCTCATTATGAACATCAGCTGTTGTAAGGCTTTAGCATTGTAGATTCTATGGGGTGCAGCTAGTTGAAGGTAGGGCCAAGTTGAATCTAAGTGGTTGTAAAAACAGCATTTTCTCTGGATTTTGCCTTTCTGCAAGTTTGAGTGCTTTTAAGTTTTGGTCATGTGTAAGGGAACTGAAGCACATAGGCCAGTGGGAGGGGACAGAGGGACAAAGCTCTCTGTCCTACTTAGAGAGCCAAAGGTGATTCCGGTCTTTCCCCTCATGGTTTCTTTGTTCTTCTGGATGCCATCCTTGGTCACCTCCTTCTCTTTCCCGTTCTTCCGATTTAGCGTCACGTAAAAATTATCAGCATTTTGTACAACTTACCTGCAGTGCACAGAATTGCAAGCATCCCTTCCCCTTCGATTCTGACCTGAATTCCATACGCAGAAATAGCCACCACGTCGGCTAATGTTAGCTAAGATCAGAGCCACGTACCTGCTCAGTTGTTCCGCTTCCTTGTGCCCGGATGAAACTGGCACATGTGGTAACCTGGGCAGGTAAGTGATCCACTGGACTTAAAGATAGGGCTTCAGGGAAGACAAAGGCAATTCAGCGGCTGGAGCCACCCAAGGAGCCTGCATGATCCTCGGAGTGAGAGGAGTGGATAAGCCTGGGCGGGTGGGAAATCAGGTGTTACTTCTACGGTGCCGGCTGCTCCTGTAGTTTAACTTCCTTCTTATTATTTTTTCCTGCGCCATAGTTTTTCTAATTTGCATGAAATGTTGGCACTTCATAGTTATTACCCACCTGCAAGGCAGTCTTTCTCTACATAGCTAATCAATCACCTAGTGTTGACGTCTTGTCTGTTTTTTTAAAAAATATAAATATCTTTATTGATTTCAGGGAGAGGAAGGGAAAGGGGGAGAGAGAGAGATAGAAACATCAATGATGAGAGAGAGCCATTGATTGGCTGCCTCCTGCATGGCCCCCACCGGGGATCGAGCCCAGTCTCCTGAAGGGGGATTGAACCTTGACCTCCTGGATCCTAGGTTGATGTTTAACTGCTGAGCCACACCGGTGGGGCTGTCTTGTCTGTTTTGTTGGTGTAGTTTAGCATGTCATGTGAGTGCTCACAGCTCCTTCTTTACCAAGAGAGCCCCAACCACCTCCCAATCTAGTGTCAAGTCCAGGGTGTTCTAGAAATGGAAAGATGCTGGAAAATTGGTCTCAGAATAGCTAAGATTTCCTATGTTGGCCATACACTCAGTTCCTAATGGGGTTCAAATCACAGACCAAACAAAAAAGTGTATGTAGTAGATGTCGCTAGGAAGGCAGACATACACAAAAATATATGTTCTAGAGGCTCAGTTTAGAGTGTTTTCTTTTTTGACAGTACTTTCCATGCAGTTTGAAAAACACAGTATGCTCTTGACACTTCAGGTTTAGTGTCGTTTCTGACTAGTTCCATCTCTTTAGGTTTGGAGGACTCTCAGGGTGGCCGGCAGGAGTGAATCACTAGGAGGGTAAATGATCCCAGCCAGCCACTGGGCATTTATGAGCAAATTTTATGGTTTTTTTGATTCAATAAAACCATATAATTTAGGTGCTTTCCATAGATGTTCAGAACTATCCTTTGTGAATGTTCCTGTATCCTCATGCCTGACGTCTTTTCATTGGTTATATCAGTAAAGAAAAATGCGGCAGTTCATTTCATAACACTACACAGAAAATTATCACATACTCCCTTAATCCATATCAGGGACAAAATTTACAACTTTTAAAGGAGGGAGGGGGACTTTTTAAAATTTATGATAACCTAACCCACCTGTCTAGATTGGAGCAATATATTAGAGTAGAAAATTAACTCAGCAACTCAGACAAATTTATTGATTGCCGGCTGGGAAAACTTTAAATGGTGGGTCTAGGCTTTGTTTTCTTATCCTTGGGGTTAAGAGAATTGATTTGTTAGTGATTTTAAAAGGGGATGGGAGAGAGTTTGAATTACAAAAGCTACGTCTTGGCAGCAGATGGGTAAAGGTGTAAGTGCAAATTATGGGGGGCGGGGAGCTGGCGGTAGAGCACCCTGCCACACCTTGACGTATTAACCCACACCACTCTGGCTAAGACTGAGGATCACAAGACTGCTTTCGTTTGCTTGTCTGTCTTTTTTTGTTTAAAGGCTTTTAAGAACAGAAATGCTTCTTTATCAATACATTCACTACAAGTGGCCTGGCTTGTGTCCTCACACTCGTTCTGGCGTTAAAATCCACCAGTATTTTTTTTAAAACACACACACGAAACATCTGTTGTAAGAATATCTTGACTTCCGAAAATTGATAAATATTTCCTTGTCTGAAAATGGCAGAATTCATAGTTAACAAGTTTTTGATCATTTGCTAGCAAAATACAACAAGGGTGTTGGAATATTTTTCTGGTCTGATTGCGCTGTTTATTTTTTTCTCCCACTAGGTGTCACTCTGCAAACCTGAATGGTTTATACTACAGGGGCCCCTACAGCAATAAAACAGACAATGGGATTGTCTGGCACACCTGGCATGGATGGTGGTATTCTTTGAAATCTGTGGTTATGAAAGTTAGGCCAAATGACTTTATTTCAAATATTGTTTAATTATTCCCTTTGGGCTTTTATTTCTGCAATTCATCTTGGTTTAAAGTGATTTGAAAAATACCAATTCTGAACATATACATGTGTGATGATGGTAATTGTTATGTGTACTACTTTTCATTGTTACTTGCCTCTGTTACTTAATGTACAGCAATTATATGATATTCATCAAATAAATGTAGATTATGTTAATATTGATTGCACTCTTGTGTGCAGAAGGATATGGTAAGAACTATGCTGAACAGAAAATAAAAAGCCTAGAACATATGCCAACTTGGGAGATAACACAAGTGTAAATACACAATAAATTAAGTATGAATGCGGTTGAATATACACATGAAAGCCCCCAGCAAATAATGGATTGCCAAAGCAACTCACGGACAACAAATATTATGAGTAGGGATTTGAACCCAGGTCTCTGACTACAGAACTGGAACTCCTATAAACACAACCCAGGATCTGAATCACTAAAAAACATGATGTCATATTTTTAGGATGTTTATGTAGGTTATGCTCCTCTTTCAGAGCCTCATTTGTACTAATCCTGTGAAGTATTATTATCCGCGATCAACAGAGCCGAGAATTTATGGACCCGAGGTTTTGTGACTGCTAAGGACTCGAACCCAAGCCTTCTGATGCTAAATGAAGTGTGTTGCCGCCCTGCTACAAGTTCTTCTGGTTAGAGCTTGGACAGGCGAGGGAGAGAGAGAACCTTTACAGTGAGTGAAAGTGGGATCAAGGTAAGACATTCCCCCAAATGGCCCAGTGCCGACAAGTATCAGGCACAGAGGATCCAGTTCAAGCCCACATGAAGCTCAGGGGTGGTTTGTTTTTTATAGACATACACTAGCCATATAACCATAAAAATATAAATAATTTTAAAAGCTGATAAGAATGAAGGAAAAATATGTGCCTGGGGAACGTACAGCAGGGACCTGCCCTGGCTTGGGGGAGGGGATCAGGAAAGCTCCCTGGAAGAACGAAGCTTTGACCCGACATCTTTTAATTAGGTGTGGTAGATTGCTGCAGGCGGAGGGAAACCCCGTGTAAAGTACACAAAGCAGGACAGTGCATGGGAACACAAAAAGGTTGGAGGGGCGATATCATTTAGTGATCCTTATATCCTCAAACCAAGGATTCTGCCACTTAATAGCTGTGTGACCCTGCATAGGCTATTTAACTTCTCTGAGCCTCAGCTGTCTCATCTATAAGATGATTATAATAGTACCTGCCTCACAGGGTTGGGTGAGAATTACACAAGTAACATAGTTAGAATAATGTCTGGCACAAACTAAGCAGTCAGTAAGAACTAACTGTGCCCCGCATTGTGGCTCAGTGGTTGAGCATCGACCTAGGATCCAGGAGATCGCTGTTCGATTCCCTGTCAGGGCACATGCCCAGGTGGGGGGCTGGATCCCCAGTCGGGGGCATGCAGGAGGCAGTCAATCAATGACTCTCTCATCATCGATGTTTGTCTCTCTCCCCCTCCCTCCCCCTTCCTCTGTCTGAAATCAATAAAGATATATTTAAAAAAAAAGAGAGAACTAGCTGTATTAGTGAAGTAGGCATCAGGGGACAATAATAATAGGTGTCTCAAAATAAGGGGTCACATAAAAATGGTAAGGTTAGTTGTACTCTATTCTCTCAGCAGAGTTTTCCAAAGCAGTGCTTCCCAACCTTTAATGACATACAAATCACCTGAGGATCTTGTTAAAAAGTAGATTTTGAACCTGGGGTGGGGCCTAGGATTCTGGGTTTCTTATTTCAGGGTTTGTTTTGTTTTGTTTTGTGTTTAGGATTCTGGCTTTTTAACAAGTTCTCAGGTGATGCTGAAGTTGCTGCTCTAGGGATCACACTTTGAAAAGCACGCATGCAGGGAACGGTAGTCCTGCGGGATACTGATAGCCAACACAGGAGGAAAAGAGCCCCTTGGTCAAATGTGTTTAGGAGACGATACATTTAAATTCAACAGATTTCCCGTAAGTATTTCTCAGGTCCTTTAATATTCTAATGTGCATTCCAAAGTTCCAAGAGGGACACACAGTATGTTGGATTTTTATATCTAGTTGGAAGTTGTTCAGTTGTGGGTATAAATCGCCTGATTTTGTGAGTGCAGACAAATGGGGCCGTTCCTCTTACGTTCCCAGAGCTCGGGAGGCGGGAGGCCGCGGGCCGAGGCTCAGGCTCTGCGGTGTGGAAGCTCGTGTCTCTGCAACTCATTTTGCCCTTCCTTCAAAGTCACAGGTTGTCCCCTGCAGTTCCTGCTCCCAGTCCGCGTAAAAGCAGGAAGGGTGCAGGGTTAACGCACCTCAGCTCCTGCCTATTGGCAGAGCTGTGCCATCTGCTCAGTCCGTCTGGAGGTAGGATCATGAGAGAACATTCGGTTCGCAGTCTCTAGACGGCGCAGGTGAGAGAACCATTCCCCATTGTCTCTGCACATTTTTCTTTGATGCAGTCTTGCGGGAACGGAGTTCTGTGGGCCACGTTTGTGAAGGTATGAATAATGGGGCACTAGTGACAATTTTAAATACAGGTATTATTTGCTCAAGTAGTAGCCCGAAGAACTCATACAATTAGGAGATCAAAAGAAGAAAAGCTTTTAATGGTGAAAAAATGTGATTCCACAGGGAAGTGGGAGGGGAGCTAAGTAAGTATAGTGAGTGTTACGTAGGTCTCGGTGTGAGAGTTTTCAATGCGAAGGAATGATATAAAAATGTAAACACCGTAAAACGGGGAGGAAGAGCTCTAACAAAAGGCCATTGCACTTAGTGATAATGTTATTTGTGTCCTTAAGTCCATTTCAGTGGACTAGTGGATGGGATCACCAGAGGCCGGGAAGTAAAAGGAGTTAGAGAGAAAAGGAGATCGTTTGAGCAGCTTAGATGAAAAAGAGAGAAATCAGCTGCTTTACGTGAAGCCGAAATATCAGGAAGACCCCAGTCTAAAGTAAATTCTCTGAAATTTCATCATTAGAGTGCTACTTATTAGGCTTTATCACGTTTTAAAATGCAAACATGTTTTTCATTTATATCAGCTGATTACACATTAGGGCTAACACACTGGAGTGCTGTGTGTGTGTGTGTGTGTGTGTGTGTGTGTGTGTGTTTGCATTGCTGGTCTATTAGAGACTCCGCCTCCTGTGGGACAAGCTCCGCCCTACAGCACCTTCTGGAGCTTAAGGGGTGGAGAGGCTCTGGGGTCAGGGCAGAGGGGAGGGGTATGTCATCCGGTTGTCTGAGAAAGGCCCTAGTGTGGTTTGTGAGTTTGTGGCAGTGGCTGGGAAAGGGCTTTCATGTCCTGCATGGGGTGCAGGTGAAGTGGTGTCCCAGACACAGGGCCCCCTTCTTGTGGGGACAGCTCTGGGACGGGCAGGCAAAAGTCGAGGCCTGGGCTCTCCCGCGGGCCCTTCCCTTGGTGTCTCCAGGTCCAGCCCTCTGGGCCAGCTCCCTAGAAAATGTTTTTTTCTTGGAGGGTTACAGCGGGCACAGCTGCCTGACATTGGCTGTCTGACCCTTGCCGGCACTGGCCCTGTGTTCTCTGTTTTCTCCCCTGGGAGCTGCACCCCAGCCTCTCAGAGAGAAGATCCCTTTGGAGGGTCCTGTGGGCATGGAGCTG